GAGTTCAATGCTCGAAGAAAACTCAAGGTTTGAGGTTTTTGGCTAAATGGCACATTTTCATCAAGGTTTTACCCCTCAAAAGCCTACTGTATCATATTTGATACCCACATTTCTAAGGGCTCTAAATGTTTAACATGATTGTATGGGTCTAGTGCCCTGAGCATGTGCGTTACTCTGGCCCTGCGTGTACATGTACATGTGTATTTTGTTGTGAAATCTTAACAGAATTTTATTAAGTTAATGTAAGAATACATTTTATTTTGTTTTTGTGAACACTTAAGATTTCTTGATTATTCATACAAAATTTTATTGAAAATTAATGTTAAAACGTGAGTATCAAATATGATGTGCTTCTGAGGAGCATTTATTTGTACATCGCTCAATCATTACTGTATTGCATTGCATTACATGTTTTGCCCCCCACAATAAGAATTACAGAGCTTTGGTCATAAAACTAAGAAGTATCATTTAAGACTTTTTGACGGGAGAGGGACAGCTAATACTTACATGCATTTAATGTTAGTAGTCTGCTACATTATAAATATCTCATTGATTTACATTACTAGTTTTTAGAATTTCATCTTACTTTTTGGACATACAAATATTAGCAACTGCACCAAATTGAATAGTTTTTTCTCAGTTTGGCCCACTGAGTTTTTTTTTTCCTCCTCAATTATGAGCTCCATATTCTCCTTTATCATACTATAGGGCATACCCTTAGGGCAAGTTATTTATTTTTCATTGGCTCAAGTTAAAAAATATAGATGTGAATCATTACCCTAAATTTTTTTTATTGGATGAATGAAACATTTTTTTCAGTGTATGAGTATATGCATATGCCAGGCTTTATAGGGTTGACAATGTTAAATTTGTTCACAACTTAAACATGTATAAAATCCTCAAAGAATTGCTGAAAAGCTTCCATAGACTTTAGACCATAAACCAAAGAGAATATCCAGAATATCATAGAAATATGTACATTTGACTGGGGCCAGTAAGCAACCACCCAGAATACTCTAGTAGCCACATAGAAACATATTAAAAAGACTTAAAAAAATTCAAACATAGTGCACAAGCAAGTACCACTCACACATCCTCAGAAATGTAAAAATTGAGGGTTTTTTTCAAGCTTGATGCTACTAGTGGCTTAGAATTTACACATGTCTCCTTAAAGGAATAGTTCACCCAAAAATGAAAATTAGCTGAAAGTTTACTCACCCTCAGGCCATCCAAGATGTAGATTAGTTTCTTTCTTCAGTGGAACAGATTTTGAAAAATTAAGCATTATATAACTTGCTCACCAGTGGATACTCTGCAGTGAATGGGTGCCCTCAGAATGAGACAAAAGCGTCATGCATAATCCACATGACTCTAGTCCATCAATTAATGTCCTGTGAAATGAAAAGCTGCATGTTTGTAATGAACAAATTCATAGTTAAGAATTTTCAAACTTAGCTTGGAGTCCTCTATCCACAATATTGCTTTCTTCAGTGAATAAGTAATCCCGTCTGAATCGGAAGAGAAATATACCCCGATCAAGCACTGTTTACAAGCAAAAATAGCCCAGAACAGTTTTAAACAAATATGTTGGTGGATTTGGATGTGAAAGGACAACAGGGGATTGACTAGTTTACTGGAGTCGTATGTTTGCCAGAAACAATGTTTTAAAGTTAAAACACCTTAATAATGGATTTATTTCTCACAAACACGCAGCTCTTTTTCTTCTCAAGACATTAATTGATGTACTGGAGTCATTTGGATTACTTGTGGATTATCGTGATGTTTTTATCAGCTGTTTGGTCTCTCATTCTGACGGCACCCATTCACTGTGGAGGAGCCATTGGTGAGCAAGTGATATAATGCTAATTTTTTCCAAATCTGTTCTGATGAAGAAACAAACTCATCTACATCAGGATGAGTAAATTTTCAACAAATTTCTATTTTTGGGCGAACTGTTTGTTTAACATTAATTAAGTAAAGAATATCTCTTTGGATTTGAGACTTTAGTCTTTGCAACTTTACAGATCTTCTTTATGTTCCAAGAGCTTGTAACACTCCAAAGAGAAAGGAAAAATTGAAATCGCATCATATGACCCCTTTAACAAATAATAATCAATACAGCAAAATGTGCTTGAATATAAAAGTTATGAAATTCTAAACAATGCATACCCCTGTGTTTATGTTTCCACAGGCAGCGGTCAAAGCGGTGGTAGCTTCAACTCGATTGGGCAGCGCAGGAAGCCATGGCAACCCAGACGGCAACAAAACCGACAGCAGTCCCTCCTCTATCAAAGAGAAGACAGCAGAGGATCAGCCAGACACTGAACAGCCTCAGATTCAGAATGAAGGCTCTTAGATCTCCACAGAGCCTCACTGGAACTCAAACTTCTTCCCTTCAAGAAAGGAACGTTGCTTTTCGCAAGTGGGCCTCATAAAGGACAGAACGGATGGGCTTTGTTTGGTTCTCCTGCATGCGGACTTGTTTGTCTATAGAAACGTCCCAAATTGTGACTCAGACAGTTGCCATACCATGCCAACATTTGATAAGTCCGTAACTTTGGATTTTGTACAGTGAATGAACATCATTGGATGGTAATGAGAAGAACCCTAGTGTCTTCAGATGATCATTACATCTATGGCAGTTAATATTTATATTATCATGCTTTTTTTAGATAATTGCCAAATTATCATAGTACTTTCATGGACATATTTTGCTTTTTAGCTGTATAAATTACATTTGTGCTGCTTTTTATTGAAATCATTTTATTCATTAAGGTTTTTTTTACGTAATATTGGTCACTGGTAGAGAAAGATGTGGACATTGAACTAAACCTTTACATAAGCTTCAACTGAGAATGCCTTATCATATACCATTTTTTATAATTCATTCAAAATTAACATTTTAAAATACTACTAAACAATTTGTCTTAAACTTGGACAATAAGCATATTGTACTTTGTTTAAATAGGGATATGCAGATTTCTTCTTTACTTTCATTAAATCTGTGTTGAGAACATGATATTAGGCCTATCTGACACACACACACACACACACACACACAAATTGCAATGAAAAACACTCCCTAAATGCCAAAATGTTCTTCATTTTAAGTAGACTTTTTATCATCTCATATAAAAAGTCCTGCTAATTTAGGAATTTTCCTTTAAAATAATTCAAAACTATTTGTTTTTTATCCAAATGCCTTATTGGCAATACAATTCATCTCAAAATGCAGTGCTTTACTTATGAGTCTGTGATTTAAACACACATAGAAGAACATGGAGGAGTTTTTTAACCTATTCAATATTCTTTAAAGCATGCTTGTATTGTATGGTGTGAGGGAATGCTGTTTGATAATCTGATAATCACATGTAAGGAATGTAATGTGGATATACAGGGGTTCATGTTTTGCATGTAGGAATGTTATCTTAACTGCTGCAATTGTCTTTTTAAACGCACTGTATTTTACAGATAAAACTCGTCTAATTAACAGTATGATATTGGAGGCCATTTGACGGTCACTTTGTACATGACACTAGTGTGTCAACTTTGTTTATCTGCTTGTTTCTTATCTAAGGACTCAAAATGCCAATAAGATAGCACTGAATATTACTTGCAGAAATAAAGAATGCAAAAAAATCATTGTTTCTGGATCACTGCGCAAGTTCTGAATGGGTGTTATTTATTAATGATATTTACATTTAGCAGACGCTTTTATCCAAAGCGACTTACAAATGAGGACAATGGAAGCAATCAAAATCAACAAAAGAGCAATGATAAGCAAGTGCTATAACAGGTCTCAGCTTAACGCAGTTCACGTAGCACGTTTTTTTTTTTTAAATCATATAAATAAAAAGAAAACGGACAGAATAGACAAAGAATAGAGCAAGCTAGTGTTAGAGGCCTTTTTTGCTTTTGTTAATCAGAAGTCAGAAAGTCAGAATTATAATTGTATAATAAATAAAAAGAAAACAAATGGAATGCAAAAAGATTAGAGAAGCAAGTGTTAGTTTTTTTCCAAAGAAAACAAGCAGTAAATAAATAGAGTGCAAGTCTAAAAGGGAGCAGCTATTGGTAGCCAGTGCAAATTGATGAACAGAGGTGTGACGTGCATTCTTTTTGGCTCATTAAAAATTAATCTTGCTGCCGCGTTCTGGATTAATTGTAAAGGTTTGATTAGACTGGTTGGAAGACCTGCCCAAGAGAGCATTGCAATAGTCCAGCCTGGACAGAACAAGAGCTTGAACAAGGAGTTGTGAAGCATGTTCTGAAAGAAAGGGCCTGATCTTCCTAATGTTGAATAAAGCAAATCTGTAATGATATATAGGCTATTATTATTAATTATAGGCCTATGTATATGTAGCTGGTTGATGTAATTCTCCCAGTGTTTTTAACCAGCATTTCTTGAAAAGGCAGAGTAAAACTATAAATTCATAAAAAATAAATATATATATTTTTTTATTATAAAAAAAAAAAATAATCAAAATAAGTAGGCTCATTTATGAAGACTTTTTTTTGTTTTGTTTTTATTTAATCGTTTTTATTGATTTATTAATTGTGAAGACTATTTTTCTATATTGTAGTTTCAATTTACAGTGGCCCCAAACATTTAAGTGCAAGTTTAAGCCCGAAGAGACTGAAATGGTCCGAGATTCATTGCAATAAAATATCAAACCATCTGTAAGCAAACGTTCTAGACTTTTTCTCAGAACTAACTTTACTTTACTTTACATTTTTAATCAGCTGTTTTTTTAATGACAACCTCTCAAATTCACACAGCAAATGCTTTTTGACTTTTTTTTATTAAAACCTAACAAATGGTTTGTTTATTAAAACCTAACAAATGCGCTTGAATTCACACGTTTATGAATTCCACATACGTTCGGCTCCACTGTATTTCTGCATTTTGAATAATAAAAAAAAATCCTTTAGCTACAGTAGATGGCGATGTCAACACTAACAGAAACCCCGTTCAAGAGCTACACGAGTTTACCGCCCTTCAAACACCACAGAAGAAGAAGTAGAGAGTGCTGCGCCCCCTGCCGGCAGACCGCGTCCGCGCCTGCTCCGTCTCACACACACCGCTCGATGACAGACGGGGAGGGGGAAGCGGAGAGAAGTAAGCCCCGGATCCATCTTCAAGAGAGAAAATAGGAAAGAAAGACCGCGTCCCACTTTTATTTCGTTTTTAGCGGCACCTTTCCGACTCATAGACGTTAGGGAGCCCGTGGAGGGGCTGTGTCACTGTCTGTAGGATGTCCCGACATGAAGGTAGGTGCGAAAAAACCGCCGATCGTTGCGTCGTTGCCTTGAATTGTAGGCCAGTGCTGACCCGCGGGGTTGCCATGTTTTCAATTCAAATGCATTGGGAAAGACTCATCATGGCGGCCGCCGTGAATTTTGCAACCTTTTATGTGCTTACACAGCCTCGGTAGCGCACAGGGCGTTTTCTGGGAGCCGCTTGGTGAGATATTGAGCTGGGCCTGTGTGCTAGGCCGGGCCTGCTGCGGCTCGCTCGGCCGCGGGACTGAGGGTGAGTGTGTTCCCGCAGGTAGCCCGTGGAGAGGTCAGGGCTTCGGTTGGGCCTGATTTAAGACACTTATTTTTAAAGCTTTCTGCTTTAAGTTACCCTGCTCTGCAAGAATGAGGACCGAGGGCCTGGACTCAGGGCCTGTGGAGCTCAGCCTGACCGCTCTGGAGCTCTTGTTAGCGTGTGTGTGTGAGCCGTCTTGAGTCATGTCATGTTTCAGGCCAGCACAAGTGAATGACTTGCACGTCTGGATTTAGCATTAGCTGGTGTCAGTGAAGCCATAGCTGTGATTGCTTACCAATCTTACTCAATTATTTCTGGAAACGCGTTTATATTTTTAGCTCCCTTTGTGAAGAAGATATTCAGTATTGAGTCAAATCAGTATGTTTGGATACAAGGAAGAGATTCATAATTTAAGTACTGGCTTGATCATGTGGCTTCAGAGACATTTGTCCTGTTAAAAGTCACTTTGGGTGCACTTAAGTGTAGTTAAAAGTCGGCAGAACCTCAGTAATAAGATAGTAATACTTAAGAAATTAATTACGTACCACTGACATTGCGTTGAAATATCAGATTGAGTCTGTCATAGTTTATGTCATTAAGTCATTACCGCTGTTTTACCATAATCTTTTGGACATAGTACCATGGTAAAACTATGTTTTTGGACACTCTACACTGGAATTTTTGAGTTTTACCATGGTATTTCCACAGTACGTTTTGTAGTGGGTCGTTTTGGGAATCTTGTCATGCTTATTGCGTTTCATCCTTTCTTTTTACCTTTATTAAAAGTCCTGTTTATATAGTACAGTGATATATTGGATGGGAATAATACCATAATTTGTTGATATTAATGTACCATATTATTAATGATACTGCAAAGAATGCTTAAGTTAATGTCCAAAACTAATCCTAGGACATATTATTAATTATATTATTTTATATACACCTGAATTGAACCGAATTCTTAGTAACTCAATGCGGGTTATTAAAGGTATAATTTGTTTAGACATTTGTTAAGTGCTTGCTTAATGTCTTTTTCAAATCTTAGTTAGCTGCCTACCTAGACAGCATATCTGCGCATCATATGTGCCTGTGATTCCCAAATATGCTGTCTGGGTAGGCAGCTCGCTAGATTTCAAGACGGCGGCTGTCACCTGCCTGTGAATGAAGACTGCTTACATATGCATCTAGTTTCTCTGCAAACAGCACATGGTGCTTGAGAGTAGCTTTCAATCAGAGGATCCTAGTGCTGTGTGACACCTCAGATAATTATTGCTATAATATTTGGATTGGTGATAGTTTGGCAGCTGCTCAGCTCTTTGATTCAAGCTCAGTGGCAGAATTATTCTGACGTATGAAGAGAGGATCTGGATTCTGTAATTAATGCTTAAAGTTCGCTCAGATTAAAGGCATTTTATACAGTAGATATTTAAGATATGACTAGACAAGTCCATACTTAAGGAGTCCCCTTGGGTTATTAACACGTCAGCTGCCAACAAATTTACAGTTTTGTCTTCTATGTAGCGATTCTTTTTACAAAGACGTCAATTTTTGTTCAGAATTGAGAAATTCTGGGTTTTAAGTTGTTGTTTTATATAATTGAACTTATTTAATCTCATACCCGAGACCAATGGTTTTGATTCAGTCATCCCACTCTCCAGCACAATATTTTGAAGCCTCTTATAAATTTCCATGATTTCTGCTGCAATTATTAAAACTCTGCTTGTTTTCAAACTTTTTTAGTAACACAAACTGAGAGAGTTTATACATTAAATTAAGAACAATTTATTGAAACTTCATGATTTCATAAGTTTCAAGCACTCTGTTCTTCAATAAAAGCTGTACTCATTGAGTAGGAAAAAATATTTTAATTTAGATAATTGACTTTAGATCTTTGACATTTAATTTAGATTAGAGTTTCATTATTTTAATATATTAATAATAATGTATTGAAATGTTTAAGTAACCCCTCTTGAAAGTTTACTGAGGCCCTCTAGTGGCCCCTGGCCCATGGTTGAGAGCCACAACCCTAGATGCAATCTGGGGTCATGTCAGGCCTTATTAAAACCTTGTTACTTTTATAATGACAGAAACAGCAATTTGATAAAAAAAAAAGATTAATTTATTATCTTTGTATATTACACAAAATGATTCAATTTAATATGAGAATACACAGTTTTTCTACTAGGTTATATTACACTAGTTAGTGTGGACTAGGGTTGGGCCGATAGACGATGCCATCGTCCATCGCAGATGGCTGACAGACATCACGATGTTTAACCGGCATCGTGATCTGTCCCCCCAAATACCCCCACAATCCGCCGCATCCCAATTCCGTGTCGTACAACCGAATATAACCTTAGCCTACCTGTTTATTCATTTATTATGGTATGTAACTAGCTCACCTTTTGCTGCACCATGTTTGCATACATCTTCGTGTATACGTATTGTAATCAATATGAATCTGTACTAACTTTAACAGTCTCCCCGCACTCCCTCTCAGTTTCTTCTCCCTGCTCATTCTTAACTTAGATTTTTTACTTTACATTTATGTATAAGGCTTGCAACTTCGTTGAAACAATATCTGGACTCCATAGCTGCTCTACTATTCTCGATCTCTACAGATTCTCGATCTCGAACAAGCAAATCACCAAACGGCATTCTGGGTTGAGCGAGCGATGCTGAGCGTATTGAGCGAGCGGAGCGGAATCTTCAGAAAGGCGCTCTGCGCTCTCAAGGAAATATTACCACTCCGCTCCCCGCTCCGCTCCGCTCACATGCTCTGGTAATTATACTGTCTTTAAATACCATCAGGGAGTCGCTACTAATATGCATTTTACTTTCACTTTCACTTTCAAGATTCGTGATCGCGACTCTATACTATGTAGCGACAGAACCTACTAGTGCTGGGCGGTATGACCAAAAATTTATATCACGGTATTATGTTCCGCCATGTGCTTCTCGTCCGCGCTTGTTTACATCAGAGTGCGCACGCATCTTTCATGCAGCATACGGCGGTGTTGTGCATTTTGACCAGTTGATGGGAAAAGTATTCTTAAAATGCATTCAAAATTCGGAGTAATTTGTAATATATAATTATTCACAGTATTTAGAAGTGCCCACGATAACAATATCGTGCATATTCATTACCGTGATATATCGCATTACCGAATACCGGCACAAGTCTATTCGGTATGAACCGGTATACCGCCCAGCACTAGTACCTACCACACATTTTACAAGATTAGATATTTGTCAGTGGTGCTCAGTATCTGCAAATCATTCGCCATCGTCCTATCAGTCATCTCTCCTTACTCTGTGTATGTGGTAAGTGAACTTTCATGTACTGTAACGTAACAGTTTACCGCTAGCAAGTGGCTAACTATGTCCCTTTAGTGGCTTCGTAGAACACGTTATTTGTTTTCCGTGCCTTTCTACATACGGATTCATGCTTCAGGCACACCCCCTAACTCCGCCCCCCGATGTCATCATCCACCACGATGTTTTACTGTAGACATCATCCGATGCCAATTTGGTAGACATCGCCCAACCCTAGTGTGGACTGTCTATGGATACCAAGACACCCCTTACATTTTATACATTTGCCAGATGCTTTTATCCAAATGTTGATTCCATTAAGTTTTGTCAGTGTAGGAATTTTCGGGGAATTGAACCCTGCCACTGCTAGCACTATGTTCAACTAGAGCAACTGGATCAACTTAAAGGGATAGTTCACCCAAAAATGAAAATTTGATGTTTATCTGCTTACCCCCAGGGCATCCAAGATGTAGGTGACTTTGTTTCTTCAGTAGAACACATTTGATGATTTTTAAGTCCAACCGTTGCAGTCTATCAGTCTTATAATGCATGGCAATGGTAACAAAATCTATGAGTGTAAAAAAAACATGCACAGACAAATCCAAATTAAACCCTGCAGCTCGTGACGACACATTGATGTCCTAAGACACGAAACGATCGGTTTGTGCGAGAAAACGAACAGTATTTATATCATTTTTTACCTCTAATACAGCACTATGTCCAGTGCCTCTCCTCGGGAGACCGGTCTCTTCCCCGTGCATGCACGCTGGTGTCCTCGTGGGTCCAGCTTCCCAAATCACCTTATCTGTCTCACCCCACTCTTCTTGTCAGTCAGCTCGACTCACTCTCCTCACTGGAGAAATGAAATCTGATCCATGATGCGACTGTCGTTCGGCACGCTGCATCGAGCAGCCACGTTCAGTTTTTAACTGCAGTGTCTGTTCTTTTACTGAACTAAATGATTTTTATTACTATAAAAAATCTAAACGACGGTGGGGGTCGGTGACACAGTGGGCAAGTGACGTAACCGGTGTTGCTGCTTAACACCGGTATCACCGTCAGCACCGTCTATCACGGCAAGCCTAGCAGCTACCCTGTCCAATGTTCATCACACTGCCTCATCTGGGTCATGGCACCAATGTTACTGGCTGCATTTTGCTCTGAGTGAGAACTGAACTCACGACCTCTGTACTGGGAAATAAGCAAGTGAATGAAGGAAGGCCCTCGAGCTCACCTGTAGACATGGTGCTGTTTTGATTCTCTCGGGAGATGTGTCCACTACAGCGCAGACAGGTTCTTGACATTACTTTTGCCCTGTTACTCTTGGGTAGTTAAAGGTTTTTGTGGTGCTTGACAGGGCAAGTTGCTATGATGCATTTTAGGTTAATTACATCTAGATCAAATGTGATCTGGCAAATGACGC